GGGGATGCTCCGGTGCAGCTCTGCCCGCGGGGAACCGGGCAGAGTTACCGCCCGTTCACGGGGCTGGAAGGGACGAGACGTGGAAACAGCCCCTCGCCGTGTCCCCGGGTGGCAGCGCCTGGCACGGCCACCGCGGTCACGTCCCACGCCACCGGGGCATGGGGGCAGAGCTCCGGGCCATGGTGAGGCCTTCGGGATGCGCTCGGAGTAGGCATCTACGTGCTAACAGCTCCCCGATGCAATGGCGCCATGGCCACCACCCCGCTCCCTGGCCCTTCTGGGGTGACATTTGGGGTGACCCATTTCCTCTCTCTCCATTTCAGGTTGGTGTCAACAGTCCAAGCCACGATGGCAACAGTGTCGGGGATCACGGTTGTCCTTAACTGCAAGGACGTGGTGTACGACAGGTAATCCCGTCCGAGAGCCTCGCCGTCCCGCAAGGAGCACGCGGAGGCTGTGCCCGGCCAGCTCGCAGCTGGAGTATTTTATTCCAAAGGCTTGCATGTACAAAGGGAAGAGGAAAACCAGTTTGTGTTCCTCTTTCCTCCGCTTTGGGTGAAGGGTTGGGCGCTGGGCTGGCCGTACACCCCCTGAGAGGTGCTGGCTTGTTCAGCACTCTTAGACCTGGGGCTGCTCTGCCAGCACCGGGGGCTCCTGAGGATGGGCTGTAACGTGGGCCCATATAGGAGCAAAAAATACAGATGTCATCACTCCTAAAGGGGTAGGGGGGTCTCCTTGCTGGAAGCTGAAACTGCTAAAGAGTCAAGCAGATGTAGTGAGAACTGATTTCAGAGGTGCATCACCTTCTCTGTACCAACTGGATTCTGAAAGAGTCCAGAAACGAGAAAAATCAGTACGGAGTCTGCTCTGAAGGAAAATCACATCACCTCGTCCCCAGTGCTCCGAGATAAAGCACCCCAGAAGAGGCTCTCAGCAGGAGTGATAGTGCAATCGGGGTCAGAAGGCTTAAAACCAGAGCTATTATCCAGAATAGCAGAGAAAATTGTAGGAGGGAAGAATAAAATTACGCTGAGCTGGAATTTGACCGTCACACACCAGATTTTAGGGTGATTTTTAGGGAGGGCTGCCCTCTCGGTCATCACAGCTTTGCCTTTAATACACAGATGTGAAGTGTCCTACCTTGGTCTAGATAGTAAGATCCAGCCAAATTGCTCAGCCCTGCTTGACCCAGGCAGCCTAACGAGTTACCTTTTTGCTCTAAAATAAATTACCTGCGGTATAAATAGGGTACATGACAAATCAAATCCCAGAGACACACCGACGGAAGGTGCTGCCAGCAGCCCTCCTTCTCCCTGGGGCTGTGCGCTTGCCCAGGCATTCTCCATGCCTGCAGCTCCATGCAAACACTTTGTGGTCAGAGACCTAGATTTTTCTTTGAATCTAGAGGAAAAACAGCCCAGTGCTCAGTGGGGAAGGTCTCAGGGAATGACAGCAAGACAGAGAAGCAGGAAGCACCACAAAGGTTGCAGTCAAATTTGCCAATTTATTTACACAGGCAGACAATCATTATATTGCTGGCACCGTAATTGCCCTCCAAAGCCCTGGGCGAGTTCTACAAACACAATAGCTGGTCACTTCCCCTCCCTGCTTTACATCACTTACATCTTTCTATCTGGAATAAGAACACATGCAACAAATTTTTTCTTGAGATGGCAGAGGAGCAAAAGCAGATTTGTTTGGGCCCCGAGCTACTTTTCTTTAAGCAGCAGGGTAGGGTGGTTTGGTGGTTGGGGTTTTTTTATCAGTACAATTTCACTCAGGACTCCTTAAGGAGCCGGGTGTCCCTGCAGAGCAGGGATTGCTGCTGCCCCGATTGTGCAACCGGGGTTCTGACATGCTTTGGGAACAGGCAGCTGCCTGCAATTATTTCCCAACAGACAAACGTCTCGCAGGGGTTTATTGCCTATATTAGATATTTTGCACTTCACTGTCCAAAGTCCAGACCAGGCGCCTCTAATTACCTCTGAGGTCTACAGGTGCTTTCCAAACGCTCCCTAGGTTAGGCAGCCGGCCATGGCTGGCAAAAAAACACGGTCTTGGAGCTTTTCTCCTACCAAACATCAGCTCTGGGTGTCCCAGGGCTTGGAGGAGAAGCCCACCTGCTGCAAAGGCATCGGATCCCGAGCAGTGCTGTGCAAACACCCGGCTGTAGGGCTAATCAAGATCCTCCCGTGAGCGCCGTGTTTGTGCTCGGCTGGGCCAAGCTCGGTGCCTGGTACCGGCCGAGCACAAAGCGGGGGCAGCACCAAGGAGGCGTCCTCCACGCGTACCAGGTACCTTTTCTCTGCCAATCAAGTTACATTTTGACACCTCTCGGCTTACCGGCAGCTTCAAAACCCGCTGCTTCTATTTCAGACCTAGGGACTCTCTTCCAGCTTTTAAAGCATCGCGAGGTGCTGAGAGCCCTTGCGATGCCCCCATGTGCACTGCTCCTCCCCTAGGCACTGGCTGGCCGTAGAGTACATCTGGGTCCTCGTTCCCTACATGACCTACGACATTTATGTCATGTACCTCTGCCACTGGCACAAGAGCCTGGAGAAGGGGGTGGCGGAGAAGAAGCACTCGCTGGTCAGCGTGCAGAGCTTCCTCCTGCAGGAACGCCTGATGGTGACCCACCACCTCTTCATCCTCGTGGTGCTCACCCCTGTCACCCAGGTAAGGGTTGGGCACGGCTGCTGTGAAACCGGGCCAGCATGGAAACACGCCAAGGGCTTGCGGTTGAGGCTGTGTCTGGCAAAGCATCTCTGCTGGGCAGGAGCCCGTGACCCCCCCGGAGATGCTCGGTGTTGGCTCCCAGCCACCTCTCCAGGAGGGCCCCATGTTCACCGCTGTCTTTATCTGCAGCACTTCAGGGGAGAGCTGGGGGACTTCTTCGTGGGCTGCATTTTCATTGCAGAGCTGAGCACGCCTTTTGTATCGCTGGGCAAAATCCTGATGCAGGTATGTGAGGAGGGACAGGGCTCAGGTCTGGGAACCCCACAGTGACTCACACCCCCTCCCTGCCCCAGGCTGCCCATCTCCATCAGCCCCTGTTCAGGCAGCAGTTAGGCTGGGGGGGGAGGTCTCGAGGGTGGTCTCAGAGGAGGGCAGCCCCACATCTATAACCCCAAGCTCCCCCACAGCACTGTTTTCCTCCCAGTCTCCATTAGGTTCCCGTCCCTTTTACCCTGTAAGCAGCATGCCCAGTGGCATCCACAAACTGGGGGCTGTGCCATGTCCTGGTGCTGCCCCCTCCTCTCTGTACCCCCCCACCACAGTCCTTTCCTCCTGCCCCAGCCCTCTGCCTTTCTCTATCCCATCCCTTCCCATCCCACTTTCCTGCTCCCTCCAAAACGCTCCCCCTCATCCGTACCTCCTGGGTGCTCGGCTCCATGCTCCCAGCACACTCAGTGCCCAAGGAGCAATGGGGTGCTGCTCACCCACCCCTCACCACACATTTGCCTTCATCCTTCCCCAGCTCAAAATGCAGGATACGCTCCTGCACAAGGTGAATGGGATCCTCATCCTGGTGACCTTCTTCCTCTGCCGTATCCTCCTCTTCCCCTTCATGTACGCGGCCTACGCCAGGCAGGTGGGAATCCCCATTTACATGGTGCCTTTCCGCATCCCCCTGCACTGCAACATCGCCAACGCCTCCCTCATCGCCCCCCAGCTCTACTGGTTCAGGCTCATCTGCCGCAAAGCCGCC